TGTAAAAAAATGAATCCGCCTCAACAATATAGAACTTATCTACAACTTATGAATTAGTTATATTTTGCAAACCAAAAATCAGCTATGAATTCCATGAATGCATAGAATTGTTTTTGAATTATTTGCAAGTTTGCTTGCAAACTTGCTACACATTTATCAATGAATAGAAAATACGCTATGCGAGTGATCAGTATTATATTGCAAGTTTTGTTTATTGCAATGATTTCTCGGTTTCGCATACTTACCTTTAAAATATAACTGAAGTTTTCCGTCAAAAACTTTTTTGGAAAAATTGTAAATTTTTCTTGTCTTATGTATTATGTGTATAATCATTTTCTAAACAATTATCTAGGTAAACATGAGCTAAATCCTATCTGAATAAATGAAATGAAAAAGTGAAAACAAGCAATGAAACACGTGGCTTCTGGTAGGAGGGGGTTATGAATAATAACGTTTTCCAAGGTTTTCAAGCGAAACCTGGACCGTTACTGCAACATTTATCTTGATAAATTAAGTTTCAAAAATCCCGAATTGCTTTTCCGAATTTTTCGATCATATCACGTACCTCAAACTTCTGGATATCGTAAAAGTTATCGACGTGTAAGTTGCGCTCTTACTTTTTCATTGCTTAGGGCCCTCTGTAAGTGAAACGTCTTTCCGTGTACAAGGCAACATTTTATTGGTTGCGAATCCATCTGGAAGCTTGATAAGATAATTTTTTATTAAAGTGTAAACTTTTCTTGTTTAGTTTATTTTAGACGTTATCACTTCTGCTTCTTCGCTTCTGTCCATCAATAAAGTGGAGGAATAAGTGATACTCTCGACTTATCCTGGCAGAACTTTAGTCTCTGACCAATGAGAAATGTATAGCTTTTCTTCGGGCATTTAATGAACATAGTTGGGAAAATCGCAGATCCGCTACTGACCTCTTATTGATATACAGCTCGCGAAAACACTTTTTGCCTCCGAACTTCGTCTTCGGCGGCGTCCAACTTTCCGAACAATAAAGAATCCTGCTGAAATTTCGACTTTCTGCTGCAGTTGCTCGCTCGAAAATCGTGCCGAATATTTATGAAAAAAGTTTACAGCAGCAGCAGCCACTAGTTTTGCTCAACTTGGTCACGTCGTAACAAAATATCTCTCGTTCAAAATAGAAAACGTCGATTTCGGAATGAAACTTTTCAAATAAGCTTTAAAATATTGCGCTGCAGATGTTTTACCTGGACTGGCCAAAAGTTGTTTTACTGGATCATGGCTGAGGTTGTTTGATCTCGTATTACTTTACGTCGCTTCGGGAACTTCTACAATTAACTCGAATATCGTTTCCTTGTGATTCTTCGAAAAGTTGGGAAAATGAACAAGTTTTTTCTGGTTTTGTTCGCAAAAATTACATGCATTTGCAACGCGATGTAATTAAACAAACAGTATACTTTTATCTGTATTTTAATCTTCAATTCTGTTGAAAGAAGGTGAAAACCTGCGAGATCTAAACTTGCATTAATTCCGTAATCAATTTTGATTTATTTTCCTGACTGCATGTAATTGTTCTTACATTCTTTTCCTTCCTGGGCTCCAGTCAAAGTGTGAAACAAACATTTGTATATCGTTTATTTCATAACGTTTCGGCGAGACAACAGCGCCATCATCAGATTTAAAATTCATACAAACTCATAATTGCTAAACATTACATTCATTTAGGTCTTTGCTATCTTGAAACCTTCAATTTGTTTTTCAAGAACGGTCTCGCCGAAACGTTATGAAATAAACGATATACAAATTATGTAATACAATTTTTTGCTTTAAACAAATTGAAGGTTTCAAGTTAGCAAAGACCTAAATGAATGTAATGTTTACCAATTATGAGTTTGTATGAATTTTAAATCTGATGATGGCGCTGTTGTCTCGCCGAAACGTTATGAAATAAACGATATACCAATTCTGTAATAAAGTTTAGCTGATTTTGCAAAAAAATATACGTGCCAATATATTCCGGGCAATAAAAACCAATTTGCCTGAGCGATGCACTGAGAAGAAAAACAATGAATTTTAGGGACACATAAAAGTGTCTGTTTATGTCTTGGGCTGATCCGGAGAAATCGCATTGGAATATAAAAGTTTCGATCGGAAATGAAACTAGAAAATACCCACTCAATCGAAAGTGATAAAATTTGTCATGGTTATACTCTCATCTCACGTTTATAGAAGATGACAATTTTTGAAATGTATCAGAGTCAATCAGTCTTGTACTTTAATTGCTTGTGAACTGAGCTCTACAAATACGAAGTTTTTTTAAGGAGAAAATACGGTTCAGGTTTCTATGAGATTGAAAAAAACAAAGGAATGGACAAGGCTTAATTATATTTTTCAATTTATTTAATCCTAAAAGCACAGAGGAGTTTCAGAAGAATACAAATTGTCTATTTAACAAAAATACTCCGAGTTTTTACAAGATGGGCATTTTCAGGGACCTGTTTATATTAGACCCGATGTGAGTGCAACTAACTAACTTGGGTCTTTAAGCCAGAAAATATGGCAAAAGGAACAAGTTGACGTGTTGATGCAACATAGATGTTGATGAACCGACAGAAGCCATTTCGATGCCAAACCAGGCAGATTGCTTGCTTTATAGCAGATTTAGTGTATGTTGTTTTAACGATGAATCAACTCAGTTTGGCCCTATTTATTCACCCCGTAGAAAGTGTGGTGGCTGAAGTAATAACTTCAATTTCTAATTGAATTCGAATGGGGGCATTGAGCGCCCCATAAAGAGGCAATAAATCCGCGATCGAACCCGGGACCCGATAAATTGCGCATTTAGGATTTCCTTTATTTTGCTTTTTGTTTTGCTTCCTCGGAGCGTTCAATTCAATTAAGTGCCTGCCGATCGCGCCTTCTATCATCTTGAAAGGACCCATATAATGGAAAGAAGACAATYATCCACTATTATAGTCAACCAGTGAGTTGAGCGCATTTACATGGGTCTGCCGCAAATAAAACTGCTTTGAAAGGACTTGTGTGTATCCACACTTGCCATGGGTTTAGGTAAAATAAGGTGTTTGTGTTGGTTTTCTCACATTTATTTTCGTTGTTATCCCAACAGTCTGGTTAAAGAGTTTGCCTTAATGTTCCACTAGTAAAATGATGCATGCCAAAAAGAGTTCAAATCCTCAAAAACTGGCGCCAAATTGAATTCGGTAATGGTTAGCTTTGCAAGTGAAGGTGCTTTTCTTGTCGTCGTAGGCATAGCTGTAAGCCTGAGGGCATTGGTCCTTGAAGAATTGAGGATAGTTCTTCGGCCAGTCGGAACTTCTGCACGTTTCCGGACGATCGTAAGCACCTGAAAAATCGGTTTTATCGCAAGTGTTTACTTATAATCACCGTGCAGTCACCTCTGCAGCAGTACTGGTCGGTGTTGAACTTGTTGCAAGCGGAGTTACAAGCAATAGTCTGTCCGGCGTAATTCACTTTCAGTTCATCAGGACACTTCTCGTTAATGTTCCCCAAACACGCCACCCTGGTGCAGCTGTATTCCTGGTTTGTGCCTTGTCCGTTAACGGGCTCGATCTACATGCAAACTTCATAAAAAGACATGCTCCAGGCCGGACTAAAGAAACACTTACGAAACCTTTGAGATTGAAACCATCCACCAAGGACACGTCGTAGTAGTCCAGACCTTGATAGCCCTTTAGAGTGATTTCGATCAGAGTGACCGGAGGCACACCTCCAGCCCCCTGGCACTCGATCTTGTTGCCACAATCTCCAGTTTGACAATGTTGGGTACCTGCATCGCACCAGGTTCTAGGCCAGAATCTTCCAGCCCAATTGTCTGGAGCCGATAATGTTTTCTGAAAAAGAGCGACGCTTTGATTATGTTGTTTTAGATGAGTTCTATATTGTTGAGGCGGATTCATTTTTTACAAACTTCTTTTTGGGTATTTCGTCTCAAAAATGTTTGTCTTTAAAAAGACAGAATTTCCTCACGTCTTTTATTACAGATTGATAAATAGTGCTCCTATTTCGCAATAAGAACGAATTATTTATCAA